ACTAAATCTATAATATACAAATTTTTATGTAATTTCTTAGATTAAAAAAAAAAAGGCTTAAATTTAAAACACTTAAAAATATTTTTAAAAGTCATATAAACTTCCCTTCACAGAAGTAATCAATAATTTAAATGGCGACAAATGAAAGTCATTTGGTTGTAAGCTGCATCTTCCACCATTGACTTTTTGTCGGTGATCAACTTCTCTTCAAATCATTTTTTGAACAATTTTAATATTCAATATTTATCTTCTCTTCAAAACATATATATTTTTACTCGAGCTTTTGGTTTATATATGATTCAATCATGAAATACTTAGGAAAACAAGGATATTAGTTTTCAGTTTAGGTAATGAAGTATGAATCATAACTTTAATCCAAGAAAATGATAAGAATTAGAAGATAATGAATTCTTGTGCTCCCTAAATCAAGAAATACCAGTGGAAGTAAGGCATAATCCACTCTTCTTCTTCCTTTTTTTTTTTCAAAAAAATATTACATCAGGACTTCTAATGAATTAGAAGTCTAATGGTGAGGCGCCACGTCTCAAGTGTGTTCTACCGTTCTTAACACTAGCCAATATCAGTGTATTACGGTGGGGTTCATTTGACACATGGCGCCCCACCATTGGACTCCAAACACAACTTGCGTTAGGAGTCCTGATGTAATATCTCCTCTTTTCTTTCAATAAAACTTGCCTTAAAATGTTACGAGAAGGAATTTTAATCATAAATAACAATGCTAAAAAAAAAAAAATCCCTTCGCAGCTTATTTCCAAAAGTTAATTTATATGACAAATTATGATCATATCCACATCAAATCACCACCGCAAAGCATCTCTTCAATTCTTGATAATATCCGCAAACTGTAATTTAGGAATCGTTACAACTGTATATGTATTTATATCAGTTGCAGCATATCGTTGCATCACATTCTGAAATAATTAGTATAAGAATCCAATGCTCGGAAACTTAAAATATAAATATGAAAGAGTAATTGAAATCCTTGCCAACTAACCGATGAAAATAAAGAAAAAAAATGTCACAATTCTTATATTTCCAAAATATACTTATCCGAGAAGCACAAAGTAATACAAGTAGAGAAATGAAACCAAGAAGCTTGCAACAAATTGATACCTTATGACATTCAGCATGGATATTGCCCATATATGAATGAAGTAGCAACATATTCATGCATTTAGATTGAAAAAATGAGGACTCGAGTATATCGGGGAAATTTAATCAGGAAGAAGTCAATCAAATAAGAACATTCTCAATAGATAAAGGATTATACTAACCAAATTAAGAGGTAGCAAAAAGAGACACAGAAATCCTTACCTTTGAATGACCAAGGAAATTGAAGATAAAAATCTTAACAACCAAAAGCTATGATTACAGAAACTCACAAAAACCAGCAAAAATCGGTGCCCCTTAAGTCCTTCCTGAAAGGGGTATTTATAGCCGAAAGAGAGATGGTTGCTTACTGAGGAAGCTACCGACGTTGAAGATCAACGTTGAGAAGAGGGGCGACGAGGAGAAGAAATTAGCTCGGGTATTAGAACGGGAGGGTAATCCAACTCGCAAAAGAGATGAGTTACTTACCGAGGAAGTTATCGATGGTGAAGACCAGTGGTGAGGAGAAGGGCTACGGGAAGAGGAAGTCGACTGGGGCATGAGAGAGGAAGGGAGATCTGACTTGCTTGTTCTGGACGTGCTCGTCCGTTTCGTATCGTCGTATGAGGTCGTCTGAACTAATTAATCGATTAATGAGCTAACTTGAGCCAATTTCGTGCATGGTGCGACAAACGATGTTTGTTGATCCAATCAGAGTCGTCCGACAAGCAAAATGTCGATCGGATTTTGCCTTAATGACAACCAAATTCTAACAAAACGCTCTCGATAACGTGTCTCTCAACACACACTGAAGGGTTTTCTTAGGGTTTCTCCAATTCTTACAAAAACTCAACTTGAGTTTCAATATGTTGGTTTAATCGACTCAACTCAATGTTGAAGATTTCAAAACACACATATGAGACTACAATGAGTCAAGAGGTAGTTTGAATTTTCTGATTGGTGTAGGTCTCAATACTAGTCCTCTAGAAGATTCAATAGAGAAGTACTATGGCTAGATCCTAGGCTCTAGAGAGAGAGATAGATCTCATAAAAATGCGGTAAAAAATAAGCAGTTGCTCGTTTGGGATATCACAATTTGCCTTCTGCCCTTACGACCCAATCTGACTTTGAAGCGATGGGATGTTTCCTACCAGATGACCTGGTTATTTCACAGACCACGATTGCTTATGAGTCGCTAATCATTTGGCATTGTAAGATATTTACTCTTTGCTCTGTGGCTTAGCGAGAGCTCATAAAGCATCTGGATGTTTCTTATGAAATAAGTCATCCCTTTGATAATCTTGTGCTAGTTGTCACTTTAAATGCAAGTAAAACTCTCTGGATCAAAAATATTCTTGGATAGCCACCAAGATGTAATGAACCAAGTGGGATACGCTCCTTGAGAGCACTCTGGACCCCATAATAGATAAACACACCTGAATCTCTAACTGTGGGTGGCTTTCGTAGGCATTCTTTCGCGGATATTTAACACAATCTATTTCGATCCAAACTTGCTTAAACGTATATGCTTGACTTATCATAGTGAGGTTCACCGCACGAAAGTTTTTCATATTCTTTCTTTTGTTTTTCATCCTTCGTCATATGTCCTACTTTTTTTATTCCTCTCTTATCCTAATTATCCACATGATTCAGAAAATAGACTTATTCGAAAAAAGGAAATATATGATGATGGACAAACAGTCTACTCCTTAAAAAAATAAAAAGAGAAATGAACGAAAACAAAGTTGTAGTTAGGAGCTGCATGAGAAGTGATGACATTTTAGGACTTAGAGATGAGTTGGGAGTTGCATAAGCTATGGTAATATTTGTAGGGTTCAGAGGCTCGAGTTGGGAGCAACATGAGTCGTGATAACGTTCTTAGGCCGTAGAGGTCAGAGTTGAGAGCTGCATGAGCTGTGATAATGTTTGTAGGTCGTAAATGTCAAAGTTAGGAGTTGCACGAATTATGATGGCGTTTTTGCCACAAAGATTAGAGTTTCAGGCTACATAAGTTGCGATAATGTCCACAGGCCTTAGAGACATGTAGGTCGTGATTGATCACGTAGGCTGTAGTGGTGGGTTGCAAGGAAAGAGCTTCATAAGTTTTTTTAGAAAGGTCAATATATGTTGAGTACGGTGGTTGTAAGCAATTATTGCGGGGTGCATTGTTACACACTTTTGGGAGGCATTATTGCACCGTATATTCGATGTGTTGTTGCACCGTATGTATTCGAGGTGTGTTATTGCACTAACTTCAGAGTGCATATTTTCACCATCTTTGGGATGTATTGTTCTATTGTATGCAGGATGTGCGTTGCACCATGTTTTAGGCGTTGTTATACCATTATTAGATTACATTTTTATAGTATTTTATGGGTGCATTGCTCCGTAGGATGTTTTGTTAATCCACAAGGCTAATCCTTACTCCACAGCATACGTCGTGACTGTATAAGGGGCTATGTTGCAAGAAGAAGGGGTAGTGACAATCAATAACGATGGACGAGCAATGGTCGACTGTGTTTGACGGTTTCATGAACAGTTTTCGATGATGTTCAACAGGTGCAAGAGCGAGTGACATTCTTTAGACCTTAGGTGCAGAACACTAGACCTCAATTCCTCTCCTCCAAACTCTAGTCTTCCTTTGGCTCATGAATTTGGTCCCCTCGCAAGAAAATGGTAGTGCTCTATTTATAGAGTCTTGAAGAGGCATTCCAACAAATTAAGAAAGAATGCACGTCATTCTATCGGACAACCAAGAAAGATCACATTGATCATATGATATTTTGTGGACATTGAGTACCTAAATAATATTAAAATTGGTTGATCTTATGCTTGGTGGATTTGTTTAATTGAGATGCTTGATTTAACTATTAGTTTGTCAGATTTTGAATCCATTTCGTTTTTTGATTGGACATCATAATCTTTCAAAAATAGTTTAATTGTTTGATCTAGGCTTGATTTGACTTTGATTGGGTAAATATTTGTGTCATTGTGTTCGTCTTGACAATCTAATCAATTTGACTGTAAGTTTGTTGAAATTAGAGTTCCAGTTTATTTTTAATTGAAGCTTGAACGCTCATTGGTCAAAAAATTACCTTGAGATTCGTTCCACTCCTCAAGAAACGTGTCAGATGACAAATTTTGTTGATGGCCTCTAGCAAGTTTGTTAGATTTATATTTAATTGCAGTGATGAAAATATTTTTTGGAAGACAACATAAGGGAAAAAAAGTGGGAATAGAAAGTAAGAATACATGTGAATCTTATTACTAATGTGAAAGAACAGACAAATCATCGTCTTAACTGGCCCTTTTATCCTCTATTTACGAGGGTTTTAGGCACTACAAAAAAGCTGCAACATGACATGTATATGAATGTCCAATAGAGAAGTATATGATAAAACCTTTATATATTTTTTTAACTTTATTGTTAGAATTCTATAGAATTCTGATGATTTCGTGGGAACACCCCTACAGGAAAGTGATTGAGATTAGTCACAAGCTAGATTGATAAGGTCACAAAATTTTAAAAGGGGATGGCGATTTATTGAGGAAGTTGTTGATTTAATACAAGCATGAGCAAGAGTTTCTATTAATTGGATGAGTGGTCCTCTAAATTAGAGTGAGTGTTCGAATGACTAGAATTAGTGTCACTTCGAGTTTGAGCGAGTGAACCTTGAGAGTCTATTTTAATTAGCTATTGCACTTTGTCTTTCAACAAATACGCTTCATATTTGCGTGATTAGTCCTGTGATATTGAGTGACTTTTCCTCGATGATCCTTCTCAATCCCTTACAAGCACATCATTATTTTTGAACTTCTTTGAATTTAAACGAAACTACGATAAAATAAGTCCCCTAAGAACCACTAGTTTACATAATAATATAAATATTTTTACTAAAAAAACTATTAATGACACTCTTATTGAAAATGAAATACACCCAACGTCTGACATACTCTTGCTGGAAATAAGAGACGCACAACAACAAACATATCATTACAAAGCCTAAGTTTAACCATGCGTTGTAGTCAAACCATTTATCAAACCTAAGAAAATAAACACGCAAAAGCACATTCATACATCACTTTTAAGCTCCACCGTCTCATACTTGAAACCTAATTTCTCCGTGTCAAGGCAATCCCTAACCTTCATCTTCACAATCTGCCGGTACTCGTTATAAAAGTAGAAATACGAGTCGAGCCATTCAGGGTCACCGATGTCGCTGGGATGGACCTTTGCCTCGCAAAACGACCAGATGCGGTCGACGTTGGCACAGATTCCAAAATAGTACACGTCACGCCCGGAATAGTAGAAGCTGCCAATGGAATCAAAGTTGGAGTCGGTCGGCTCCTCGATCTGGACATGAGCAAGGCATTGTGGGATTTGCCCTATGGATCCACCGCCAGGGTAATTGGTTTCCTCCCCTTCCCCGTTCGACGAGCCCATGAAGAGCCCCGCGCTCTTTCCAATCAATGTCATAGATTGGTGCATGTATTTGAGGTTGTCTTCCATGCGTTCGGTGAAGCCTGGGTTCGAATCCTGGCCCCAATCGTGGATTAACGGCTTTTGCTTTTGGTTGTTCGGGTCGCGATTCTTGTTGTGGAAATCAGGCACCACCTTTCTTTCGGGGTCTTCCATGCTCCAGAAGGGAATGGAGAACTCATTGTCACCGATGAGGTTGCCGAGGATGCGCTCATAAAAGTAGAGGTAGCAGCGGTGCCAGGGGAAGAAGAACCGTGAGTTGGGCCCCTGTATGTGTGTGAACAGTGAAGGAGGGAGATCAGTACAGTGTCGTTCAAATTATGTTATTTATTATTTAATTATGTTTAACTCTTATATAGGATTTAATTGGACTTCCTATTATTATGCTCACTAAAATCTCATAACATTTTATTAAATATATTTTATAAAATATTAAAATTTTAACGCATGCCCCCTTCAATTTTTTCAGATAACAACATATTAATCTAACAACTTTTTTCAGAAGTACTATTATGAATATTTGATTGACGGTTGTATTCGTAAGAAAATAATCTGTTAAGAATCTCATGTATGTTTTAAATAAAATTTTATTATTTTATGTTGGCTAATTTAATCCGTAATTTCATTTTTTCAATTTATTAAAAAACTGTTGGATCTCAAAATAATCTGCCCCAATGGAGCGCTCAAACAAAGACATTTCCCGCAGACAGATGACTCAAACGGATGACTTTTCTCTCCTAACAACAACTAATACAAAATACTAAAATATCATGTACTACACCTTTTAAAACAAGCACTCTATTCATTGAGCATGATGTATCACATTCGATATAACACATTTAAATTAAACAAAAATAAAGATAAATGCCTTGCAATTTATACATTAGATGCTTACCAGGTTTAGAATACTAACATGAATGAAATTCAACCAGTAATTCTATTTTCTCGTATGTATGAAACCTCTAATTAAAGGGAGAAAATTAGATAAGGCTGTCTTGATAAGATTTTAATTGGAATAGACTTCATAGTTCTCTAGTTAATTTTGAAATAGATAAAATATATACTCAATTAATTAGAATTTGAAATTTCTATTTCACAGCTCAAAATCAATTAATTCTGAACATATTTTTAAATAAAACTCAATCCAGAACACTACCTGCAAGTCAAGTTTGGGAAGGCCGACTTGGTGGTAAGCGCCGTCGCGGTAGGCATGGTAAAGGTCCATCTGGCGCGTGAAGCTGCGGGGGGTCGTCTGCCGGAAGAGCTTTCATAAGCTCTATGCCCTTTTTCGGGGGTCGCGAAGCGGTCCCTTGCGGGGCGGCGGGATGAAGTCGATAATGGTCGGAGTTCCGCCATCCGGAATCTCGGTAAGGCCGCGTTCAGAGAGGTCGGGTGCTTGGGCAGCAGAGGCGAACGCCGAGCGGGCAGCAGCGGTGAGGCTTTCCATGGAGGCTATCGGAGCTTAATTATGGATGGATGCCTTCCTGGTTGGATGTGACGAAGATTTGCTGCGTATTTGTAATCGGAAGCATGTGATGCTTTGGTGTTTGGTTTCAGATCGGATCTCGCACACACGGCTTTCAAGTCCTTTTCAATCAAGCTCTTTTTTAACAAAAAATGATGGAAACAAATTTTACCGTGCGTTGTTATTTTCTTACGTCGCTAATTTATTTTAATGTGATCGAAAAATTTTCAGATTATGCTGTAATAAAAAAATATTGTACCCACCCCCACATGGAACGTGGCACTGGCGGGACTGCTTTGATTTGGGGTTCGAGAGGACTACCTGAAAAAGGCCATTTTGTCCTGCACTTGACCCGTTTGAGGTGGCGAGCACTTCGGAGCCGCCCCACTTGACGGGACTTCGGCTGGGCACTCGTTTACCGGAAGTTTGAGCGACAGATCGTTTGAGCCATTTATTGGATGGCTATGACTGATGGCCAATTATATAGATCCAAACGAGTTTCATTGCTCACCCAGCTTGGTTGAAGATTGTCGGCGAATACATTATCGTGAGCTTTGCACTAGTAGACTTTATGACAGACGCCTGAATTTTGTTCATCTTTGAATTATTTTCTTTCCAGCCTGCAGATGCCGACCAAATAGTCAAAGCCATTTAAACTGCTTCTGTTGGGTCTTGATAATGTCATCATTTTTGTTGACCGTTAGATCTTCTTAAGATTTGTGCTGACTCATTTTCTAGATACAATAGTCAACATTTTATAGAATAGTCTAAACAAATTGATTCAAATGTGCCTATTCCATTAATTTCGGTAGAAACCTATCATGCTATTAATTGATATCATATAATATGATATTGTATGTCTTAAAAATGCTAGCAATGATCTAGATGAGAGCCGATAGTAGCAGCGACCGGTTGGACTCATTCAATCGTCCAGTCCAGCCAACAGGCCAACCACATTGTCAGATGGACCAAAAAACAAAAAGGTATTGGATATACAAAAATGTGCCAATAAAGACAATAATAGCTTGCAACTTCAACATACATTAATATCTTGCAACTCCCGGGGACAATTATAACTTGTAACTCCTAGGGGCAATGATGCAATTTTTGTACTTTTATTTCTTTGTTGGCTATAAATAGGAGGTTCTTCTCCCATGTAGGAGACAGAGGCCATTTGGGATTTCCAACCATTTAGAGTTTGTTTACCTCTTCACTTGTACAAATTCTTTCAATTTATACAATGTGTCTGATAGCCCGAGAAAACACCCCCTCATTACCCTGCTGGGGGCAATCGTTGCATCACTTTTATCACTCTCATTCTCCCTCTCTCTCTCTCTCTCTCTCTCTCTCTCTCTCTCTCTCTCTCTCTCTCTCTCTCTCTCTCTCTCTCTCTCTCTCTCTCTCTCTCTCTCTCTCTCTCTCTCTCTCTCTCTCTCTCGATAAGTGTTATCTATGTTTAAGTTAGACTATTGATTGGGGGTAGAGAATAATATTACTCAAATAACATGATATTCAATGTATGGTATAATGAAATTAAATTCTAAATTATTTTGGGCAATATGAATTAATTTTACATCTAATTATCATACAATATGTAAACATCAAATAATATAATCTATAAAGTAACTTTAGTTGATTATTATATCTCATTTTATTAATAAATATAGCACAAATTTATTTGAAATTGAGCCTAATTAAATAGTAAAATATACTTCTTACAATACAACCTATTTTATTTATTTTTTATATATTTAATTTTTCAATATTTCAATCACACATATAATATAATGTTTATTTTTGTTAACAACTTTTACATGTAAAATACAAAAAATTACAGGACTCAAAGAAAAATTAAACACATATTTTAATAATAAGGCTCATGTCTTGAACGCTTCTCTTCTAACTTTAAATTGGTTAAATTGTGCTCTAAGCCAAGTTAATTTATCCATTATCTAACAAACACTTTATTTGTAGGTTTGTTTGAGTTATGTATTTACTTCAAAGTTAAATTTCCATATTATTAAATCTTGTTTTCCCTTTTAGTACTTAAAATATTAGTATATATCTGCAAATGCCTAAATAAATATTATTAGCTTTAATCAAAGTATATTTTTTACCGTCAACATAATTTAATGTGACTCAAATCTCATTGTTGAGAGAGAGAGAGAGAGAGAGAGAGAGAGAGAGAGAGGAACAGCAGGTGGAGGAGGAGGCTTAAGAATTAAACCAAAATAAGAAGCACTTCTAGTTATATTCCCTCTTCATCATTGACATAGAAAATGTGATACTTCTCTTATTAACTTCTTAAATCTAAATAAAATATTTGAATTACTACTATTTATAAGGTTTAATCAATTTATATATTGATCTCTATGTAGTCATAATTTTATGTTCCACTGAATGACATAAACATTTATCTTGTATCAAATGGATATAATATGTTAATTGCCATATTTTTATTTAAAACTAAGGCATATACCCACATATTACATAATTCTTATGTACAAACAAAACTAACATTTAAACTTCTCAATCACATGCATAACACTTAAATCCTTAATATTACATTAAAAACACCATTATCATTAACTTTTCGAAAGTGAAAAAGCATATTTTTCATGCATAGATTATGATGATAAGATAGCATCAATACAAATAGCAAATTAAGGTGTTTGGCATGTAAATATATTGAAATTGTGTGGCATATATGTAAATTTCTTAATTTATTACACACGTGGGATGATGATTGGTCACATGGGTAAGGTTGGCTGTGTTGGCGCATTAAGGGTCAACAAATGAGATTGTGGTGGAAAGAGTGGACAACAAATGAGATTGTGAGATGCAATCATGGAGCCGATGGGAGCCAAAGATGATAAGATAGTTGCAAGGTCATGTTCTCTTCATAGAATTTATGTTTATTTTATTTTATTTTTATTTTAGACATTAGAGCAACGAGACTTTGAACTCACGTGACCAACAAGTTAAAGTTACCTGCATAATTTCAGATCTTACAAGATGAATTTAGAGAATGTTTAAATCAAATGAATGTAGATTTTTTTGTACAAAAGAATTTCAATATTTTAAATTTCTAATTAAAATAGTTTTCATTCATCTTATTTCTCATCAAAATTTCAGAAATATATGTTCTATATTCGTAATGTATCAAATCAAATAACTAACAAGTTAATTTCATGAATTATGATAATCATATCGGTATTATGAGGTTCGACTAATAATGTTATTGGAGAACCATTCAATGCTCGTGCACTTGTTTAAACGTGTAGATGAGTGCAGTCGAGTTTGAGTCATTCTTAGCTTGAACTTGGTTAGTTAATTAAGTTTAGGCTTAATTCTACGAGTTTGAGCCAGAATCACTAGCATACTTGTTCATTGTTGAAGAGCGATAATACTATTATTCAAGCTAGTATTATAACAAAATTATCAACAATTAATTTATAAATAAATAAAAATATATTTAATATAAATATAAATAATATTGTTTAAATGACTTCAATAATTTAAAAAAAATAATATATTTCATGTTGATATTTTTATAGTCTCGTTAGCTAATAAGTCAAACCAGATGACTCAAAATTGTCTTATTAGCTCATCAAGCTCATTTATCAAGTTGAGCCCACATTACAACTACTCGTATATGTGGCATTCAGAGAGAAGATTATATATTGTCAATAGCTACCTCGCAATGTTAGAACGGTAGTCTACAGCCTAAGAACTTCGCATTATCGTCATGTCGCTCAACCTTCCCTTTCAATTTAATAGTATCTTCTAATTATTTGATCATCTCCTAAATGTCCAGCAGGGAATGATGTAATAAAGAGGAGTTTATGCTGTGTTCTTTCGTTGCTATTTTTTATTCTTTGGAGGCTATGTGCTTTGATTGCAGGTTCGAATGTTTTGAGTTATTGTTCTGGTGTTATTTATGATGACTCGCAGCTTTGAGGGAGTTTCCAAGGGGATTTCGACTTTATACGTATAATGCAGCTCGGCTTATATGACTGTTATCAATGTTACAAGTTTGGAGCATTTATTGTATCTTTTTGTTTCTTTGGAATTATTTTTATTGGCTTGGGTAGATATAGTGTTGGAGTTGGGTTTATGTTTTTAAAATAGTTTACATTCATTTTATTTCTCATCAAAATTTAAGAAATATATGTTCTATATTCGTAATGTATCAAATTAAATAACTAACAAGTTAATTTCATCAATTATGACAATCATATCAGTATTATGAGGTTCGACTAATAATGTTATTGGAGAACTATTCAATGCTCGTGTTGGAACATATAGACTTTTTTAAACGTGTAGATGAGTACGGTCGAGTTTGAGTCATTCTTAGCTTGAACTTGATTAACTAATTAAGTTTAGACTTAATTCTACGAGTTTGAGCCAGAATCACTAGCGTGCTTGTTCATTGTTGAAGAGCGATAAAACTATTATTCAAGCTAGTATTATAACGAAATTATCAACAATTAATTTGTAAATAAATAAAAAATATTTAATATAAAATATAAATAATATTGTTTAAATGACTTCAATAATTTTTTTAAAAAATAATATATTTCATGTTGATATTTTTATAGTCTCGTTAGCTAATAAGTCAAACCAGATGACTCAAAATTGTCTTATTAGCTCATCAAGCTCTATCAAGCTGAGCCCACATTACAACTACTCGTATATGTGGCATTCAGAGAGATGATTATATGTTGTCAATAGTTACCTCCCAATACTAGAACGGTAGTCTACAGCCTAAGAACTTCGCAGCATCGTCACGTTGCTCAACCTTCCCTTTCAA